ACACACACACACACACACACACACACACACACACACACACACACACAGAGAGAGAGAGAGGAAACCCCGAGTTAAGTGAGAAGCCACATAAAAGGATGTGAAGCTGATTGAGAAATGAAACAGAGGTGAATGAAGGACGTTCTTTAGTCCGTAAAATAAAACTGAAGCATGAAGTGAAAGAATCCTGCTCACGCTGAGTCAGCATGTCTGTGTTTCAAAGAGGACTTCCTGTCTCTAATGTTCCTTTCACAATAAGAAGAATACTGGTTCTTTAGGTCGTCTTCTCACCTTCGTCGTTCTTTAGTCGGTCCAGCTGACCTTTCTCCATCAAAGCCTCGGCCTCCTTCACGAATGAGATCATCCCTCCGAAGGGGGGGGACAGAATCTCCTCGATGAACTCCTGGAGGAGGAGGAGGAGGTGAACGAGGAGGAAGAAGAGGACGAAGAGGAGGAGGAAGAGGGTTAAACATCACAACATCAGTGAGCGTCATTCAGTTTTATTTAAATGCGAAAACATCGATGCCAGACAAGATTTCAGACTTTAATCCAATTTACTTCAGAATTACAAGAAAACACAAGTTAACTTTCAGTTACTCAGGCTGAATATGTATTCATATATATTTATGTATCTTTTCATATTTAAATAAAAGTAAAGTTTTAAAGATAAAGGCACTGAATACTCTTTTATTCAGTGTTATAATCACATCTGTGGTAAAAACCTCCTGAACACTGAATGAATCCTAACGACTGCAACGAAGACAACAACTCCCATGATGCCACGCTGCTGCACCACATCGCCAAACTACAACTGTTGTTATTGTTTTGACAGAGAGGGAAAAATGTTACGCAATCCTGTTCCTCTGTTATGCAACTTAAAATATAGCTCGGTCTGTTTCTAGAGTCTAGAAGATTCTAATTTACCTGCAAGTGTGTCAAAATAAAAGCTTTGAGCACAAAGAGGACGCAGGAAAATGAAGGGAGTGAAACAGGGCTTTAGATTTCCCAGAATGCCTCAGTGAAGTTTACCTGCGTCCTGGCCAGCAGCAGCTGTTGGAAACCTTCCACCTCTTTACTGTCGTCTGCTGCCCTCTCCTGGACAAAAAGGGAACAACAAGCATTGTGTGATCAATGTCAGGCCAACGAGAGAGACGAGATCTACGTCTCCAGACGAGAGAGACGAGATCTACGTCTCCAGACGAGAGAGACGAGATCTACGTCTCCAGACGAGAGAGACGAGATCTACGTCTCCGGACGAGAGAGACGAGATCTACGTCTCCGGACGAGAGAGACGTACATCTACGTCTCCGGACGAGAGAGACGTACATCTACGTCTCCGGACGAGAGAGACAATCTACGTCTCCGGACGAGAGAGACAATCTACGTCTCCGGACGAGAGAGACAATCTACGTCTCCGGACGAGAGAGATGATAAACATCATGGTAATGACAGAGCGGCTCTACGAGCAGCAGCCGCTCACCATGAGGACGCTGAGCATCATGTCGTAGTTGTTCATGAGGAAGATGAGCTGGTCTCTTCTGGAGGGAAACTCTGCCGCCATCTTCAGCACGAAGTTCTCCACCTCCACCTGGAGACAAACAGAGAATCACAAACGCTTTATTCACAATAAACTAGTCAAAGAAAAATAGGAAAAGATATAAATACATACAATAAAATATGATAAATAAAGAGTACATTAAGACAAGTGTGTTATTAAAGTGACATGAGTGTATTTAAAGAGTAGAGGTGTGTAACTGTAAGTAACAACTTTGATGAAAAACATGAAAGACTCATGTTTTTAGTAATATAAAGAACGGCTAGAGAAGCGGAAATCATCGCTGCGTCCTAAAGGAATCGCTGGAGTGTACACTACATTTAGAATATTTACACCTCTTTACCTTTCTGACGTGGAACTGAGGCTGTTATCTATCCTCTCTACAGAGACACCAGACTCCCTTCATAAAACAGTGATCTAACCTCTCAGGACACATACAGTAGCTGGTCTACTGCGGCCTCCTTCTGTGTGTGTGTGTGTGTGTGTGTGTGTGTGTGTGTGTGTGTGTGTGAGAGTGTGTTTTTGTGTCAATTTGGCGAATCCAAACTTTCCCTTTAATGACAGAATAAATGGATATTTACATATTTTTCCAGTTTACTGCCGTGTGAGTTACTTCATCTGCTACGTATATACTTTGATCACTTGACTGGTTGTGTTGTTTTTTTGTGTCCCAGAACATACAGAACATACCGTGTCTGTGTGTGTGTGTGTGTGTGTCTGTGTGTGTGTGTGTGTGTGTGTGTGTGTGTGTGTTACCAGCAGCTGTCCCAGCAGAGTGTTGGTCCTCTCGTTGGGAAACGTCTGGTTGATGCTGACGATGGCCGACGAGAACTCTGCGTAGCGACGTGTGATCTTAAAAATAAATCAACAAACGCACTGAAACACACTGCTGTGTGTGTGTGTGTGTGTGTGTGTGTGTGTGTGTGCGTGTGTAGACCTACGTAGTGGGGTCTGGTGTCCAGTACTCCCAGTCTCTGAGGGTCTGTGTTTCGGATGCTGTGGATGTTCATCTCCAGGATCAGCTCAAACCTCGGCAACAGCAGCTCCAGCACCGCCTCCCAGTACCTGAGCACACAGGTGAGGAAGACTCACTCACACCTTCATCACCGTCTCAATGCAGCTCTTTAAAATGTATTCATTTAACATTCATTTTAGCTAACTTATTTATTAATTTCCTATATGTAGACAGGATAATTCCATTGAGAGTTTGAATCTTTTTTCAGGTGCTGGCCAAGATGGTGGTTTTAAATTTCTCACAATCGCCACATAAAAACACAAATAACTGA